TAGGTGAGCTTCAATATTGAAACATTAATCCAGACCTGAGCATTTCTGTTGAGGACAGTAATTCAGTAAATCCAATAATTGGACAGTGGAGTTAGTGTGTCTGGAGATAAATACCCCTGGGGGAAAATAAAAAGTGAATTCTAATTTAGGAGTGGAAAATGAGCAGGCACAATTTCTAAAGCTTGTTTCTGGATGTTCTTTGTTTAGCTTTGGATGCTGTTTGATCAGAAAATACAGTTTGAGCGAGCCATGAACGATGGCAGATACCATGTAGCAGATTCTCTTGTAGCAGGAATTACAGCACTAAATAGCATTGAAGGTGTATACAGGTAAGGAATCGTGGGTCTCTGTGCACTTGGCAGGTTTCTTCCATGCAGATCATGAAAAATTAGCACAATGATCACTGACAGCCACATGTGCTTACATTTTTTTTTCCCTTTCCAGAACTAGTTAAGGTTATGGGGTCTAACCTATAGGGCTGTTCCTTTAGAGCATGTCCTGCAATAATAATTTGTAGTTGTTTCTCTGGGCATTTTAAGAACTGGAATAGCTGAAGTTGGTTTTATTCTAGGGCTGTGAATCTGTCATGGTAAGGTCTTCACAATCTGCTATACTCAAACCTGAGCACAAGGCAGATTTTTATGTCAAAGAGCTGGGGAGGGAGCTCAGGCCTTGAGTGAATTCCTCTGTGGCCTGGTTTCTACATCTCCAAAATGGAACAATGTGATTTTTTTTTTCCACTCACCTTAATGTGGTCTTGTTTCTAAATGAGAATGACATGTTAAAAATAGTCACAGTTAAAACTTGGTATTTGGTGAATATGAAAACCAACGTAGTGTTCAAAGAATTTCTTGTCGATTTTCAAAGGCAAAACACCTAAAAGCAGCCCGTGCCAGTCAGCCAGAAGAGCAGTATTCAAGCTGTGGGACCTGATGCTTGTCCTTCTGGAATTGGACTGATCATGAATTGCCTGATCTTTAAATACTCTGCTCAGTCTCTGGTTCAGGGCATTTATACCCATCTCCTGCTGCTGTGCATTTGGTCCTGACTTCCCTGCTCTCCATTTTCCTGGTGCTCCATCTCCTTGTTAGCTCAGGCCAATTTTAGCTGCTTTACCTCATACCTGTTTTCCTCACAGATAATTACTTATGCTCTCTAGCTTGCATGTCCTCCCACTTCTGCTGCCTGTTTGGCCTTTGGTTTTGGCAATCCCTGGTTTCTATCTAAAGCTGTTTTATGAGTTTGATCCTTTCTGCCTGGGAGTTGTCCAGTTGGCACCAGGGAGATCTGTTTTTCCTCCTGTCTGTGTGTGCAGCATGTGTACACTTTGTCAGGCTGCCAGTCTGCAGTTACAAGAAACACAGGTCACAAAATAGAGACCTGTTTCGCTGTGTTCTGAAGAGCAGAATTCTATACAAAGTACAAAAATACAGTGATGTTTTCTTTCTGCCACGACAGAAAAGCCATTGTATTGAAAGCCCAAAATCAAATGTCAGAGGCACACAAACTTCTGCAGAAATTGTTGATCCACTGCCAGAAAATCAAGAACACCGAGATGGTGATTAGGTAAGAATGTTTCATTTGCAGAGTATTAAAGCCACTTTGCAGTGATGAGAATCAGCCATTTCAATTTGTCTGTGTTCAGACTTCACTAGTCTTCAGATTACCTGCTGTGATTCTGAGATTACAGAGTCATTTCAATTATTAATCACAGTATGGAGGAATCCTCAAAATATTGTGTCATTTAAACCTAGTTATTTTTAATATGTAAACTAAAAGGTGGTAAAGTTAAAGTTCCATGAAGGTTCCTGGAAGAAGGAAACACTGCATCTAAAATAAATAGGAAATGTGTGTGTGTGTAGTTTTACCTTGGTGTAAATCTTGAGAGAGCTATTTATCTTTTTTTAAAGATATTATAGATTATAGATTACAGATTATATATATTATTTAATCTTTTGTATGCCTGTGGCATCTCCTTTTAAGGGTGTAATTGAAATGTATTGCATATGCAGCAGCATAATTCATAATAAAAGCAATCCCATTGTGGATGGAACAATTCCCTGGGAACAAGGGGCCGTTTTTCACCCAGAGTGAAGTCTGTAAGTGCTGCTCCCTGTTTGCCAGGGTGCTGCTGTGCATGGCAGAGCTGTACTGGAGGTCCTCGTGCCACACCATCGCGCTGCCCGTGCTGCTGCAGGCCCTGGCCCTGGCCCGCGAGTTCAGCCTGCAGTACTTGGCCTCTGAAACCGTGCTCAACTTGGCTTTCTCCCAGGTAGGGCTGATTTGTGTTTTCACAGGGCTGCAGGGCAGCATTTATTCTGGGGATCTGGATGCTGTTTTTACTCCTGTGAGATTTAAGAACACAGCCTTGTTGGAATTAAATTATTGATTGTGAAGAAGCAAACTCTGGATGTAAAAGCTTTCAAGGAAATTAATAAAAGTTGAGTTTCATGTGTATCACTAAAATTTATAGCTATTGAATATAATTAAGCAGCATACATTTCCCCTGTCTTAATGTCTTCAGTTATCTTTTCATGCTGGTATTTTGGCTTTCAAGCAGCACAGGTTGGCTTGTATATTAAAATTAATGCTGGTAATGAGTTCAGTTATATTGTTTATTCTGAGAGGCATGGCTGTCAGCACTGAGTAGAGAAGCCTTTCCCAATCATTTCTACTCACAAGTTTTGATTTAAAAGAAGATTGTCAGGAAAAAGTTGAAAAAAAAATTGCATGTGTTACATCATGTTAGTAGAAACAGACATGGCTTGTGTTGGTGTTCCCTGAAGAAGCTGCTCCTGTCAGTGCATTCCAGTGTGAGACCAACAAGGATTTCTCTTTCAGCTGATCCTTGGCATTCCTGAACAAGCCCTGAATATCCTGCACATGGCAATAGAACCTGTCTTGGCCCACGGAGCTGTGCTGGACAAAGGCTGTGCCATGTTCCTGGTGGCCAAATGTCAGGTGGCTTCTGCAGCTTCCTACACTCCACAAAAGAAGATTGAAGGTAGTGTGAAGAGTAATTCTCTCTGAAACTGCTCACAAGTGCAAACCAGTGTCTGTACTGGAATCCTGCTACACCAGAGTGTGTTACCTGGTTATTGTATACAAAATTCATTAGGAATTAGTTGTTGCACAGATGTTTATAGTGGAACATTGTTTATCTGCATACTTTCACACACATATTTTGCAGCAAAGGCTGAATAATAGAAAGTAGCTGAGAGACCACGTTGCTAAGACACAAATGGTTTTGAAAAGCTGAGGAATTTGTAATTGGCCTCCTTAGACTTGAGCTGCCTTGGAGATATTACTGTGATATTTTCTTAAATATGAATGTCCCCCTTTTTTCCACAGCTTTGGAATCTGCTATCTTGAATCTAAATGAAGCCAAGAGTTACTTTGCCAAAGTGGACTGCAAAGAGCAGCTCAGAGACGTTCTCTACTTGCAAGCGCGGCTGTTGCACACCCTGGGCAGGACCCAGGAAAGGAACAAATGTGCCATGTTGTTCCGTCAGCTGCACCAGGAGCTGCCAGCACACGGTGTCCCCTTGATCAATGCCTTCAAGTGATGCATTTAAAGATGAGATTTGTTTGTTTTCCTGTTCTGGTTTTGTTTGTTTGTTTTCTTTTTTTATGAACACCTTTTTATTGTATTCAGTCATCCGGGTTTCAGAATAACTGCCAATAAATCATGGTCTGCTCTTGAACAAATTTGTGTTTTGTAACACAAATGTCATTTTCCACCCATTTCACTTTTATTCTCTACTTGAAACTAAGAAATTAGCAGGGAAAAAAGAGAAAAGACCCTCTTGACTGTGTTGTAAACACACTGCGGGGAGCAATGTAGTCACGAAGTACTGTTCTGTTCTTAGGAGTGACATTTCCCAAATCAATGCAGGCTTTATGAACACAGGAGTACAAAAAATAGTGGAAAATGTAGGCAAAGCTCCTTTGTGCTCTTTTTAAGTGGTATGGAAGGAGGAGTCTCATTTAAAAAGTGTCCTTGCTTTTAACCTGTCTGCAGTTGCTGTTTATGCTGCAGAAACAGATGGTGCTGGCAGAAAGGGAAAAAACAGGGTTCAGTCAGAAAGGTGTAACAGTGCAAAGTCCTGGCGCTGTTGTTTCATGTGTCCTTGTGCAGAGGGGGGATGAGGAAAGGAGGAGTGGGAAACAACAGCCCCAGCTCGGCTGAAATGTTTTATTGTGTGCTTTCTCCCCTCAGCACTGTGTGTCATTCACCTGCTCTGCTTTTATGGGTGAATAGATGGAGATCACAACTGAAGTATCTGGGGGGGCCAAGAAATCTGGAGAGGGACTTTGGACAAGGGCCTGGAGTGGACTGGATTCCCAGGGTTGGATGGGGAATGCCACCCTGTGAGGGTGGGGAGAGGCCCTGGCACAGGGTGCCCAGAGCAGCTGTGGCTGTCTCATCCTTGAAGTGTCTAAGGCCAGATTGGGCAGGGCTTGGGATAGCAGCAGGTGTCCCTGCCCATTGGTGGACTTTGAGATCCCTTCTATCCCAAACCATTCTGTAACTGAGTGTGTGATGCTCATTTTGGAAGAAAATTTCATTTTGACTCTCGTGCACAATTTGAGGGCAGACAAGATTGCACTCCTGTGAGTGTAAACCTTTGGTGGGTGCCACTCACCTGGTGACTGCAGGAAAGCTGAGCATCATTAAAGCCCCAGAGCTACCCTGCTTGGAAGCAGCAGATTTAACTGTGGCACTGCCACACCAGACCCAAACCTGGTTCTGCTGGAGCTGGGCCAGGTAAGGAGGAAGAGAGAAGCACTAGGGTGTGGTTGAGACAAGCATAGCCCGGTGTTAGTTTACACATTCCATTAATTAGTGCTGCATCGGGGCTCTTGGCAGATCATCAGGGCCTTGATTTTAAAACGAGGTTTCCAACGGCAAAGGGGAATTCAGCTTTGTGGAACGCTGGTGATGCCTCATTCCCTCTCTGCTGCGTTTTAACCAACATCGAGGAGTTTAAGCCTTAAAATGTTCGGAGCACCTACTGCGTTCCGGTAAGTAACCTGATTTTTAGAGTGGCTTTCAGGATTCTGGTCAGAAATACAATGTTTATCGACAAAGCTGGCATGGAGACCTGGCTCTGCTCTGGGGAGCTCTACAGTGTCAAAGTGGTGCCCACAAACGAACCTTGAAGCAAAATGAGGAAGAGGGTTTGGCCAGCTGTGGCATTTGCATCTGCTGAAGGCTGAAGCTGTTGCTTCATGTAAAGAAAACCGGGGGTGAGCTTGGTGCAGAAATGGTGCTGGATGGAAATAAAAACAAACCCCAAATACCGGACAAAGCAAGGGGTATGTTTGCCGAGGGCTGGTGTCAGCCGGGTGTTAAAGGCCGTGCAGATAGCAGATTCCAAAGCCTTGCCCGTGAGCTCTGTCTCAGCGCTACAGAGCTGTAACTTGTGCGGGAACTCTTTGGTGCTGGCCTCTGTGACATTTCCAAACAACTGCTTTCCAAACCGCCCCTTTGGGTGATGCTTTGGGCAATCGCTGAGTGCGGGG